GGGATACAAGGGTGCACGCAGTCCCTCTGGCCATCACGGCAAATCGTGCCCTGGGTTCTGGAAGGCGGGAGCTGCGGTTTAAATACAACAAGCAACAGGGAACAGTCCTGCGCTGGTGAAGGCTGGTAACCTGCAGCAGCGCACCTTCCACATTAAAAGGGTTCTTTCTGCGCCTGGGCACCTGCTCTCGGTCAGTGTGTGAGGTAGGTGTATATGTGTGAGTGTGAGGTGTGTGTAAGAGCATGGATATGGGCACGGACAGGTGTGCATACGGGTGTGAGGTATATTTGAAGTGTGTATGAGTTGAAGGCATGTGTGTGAGGTGTGTTGTAAGAACATGAAGCCAGCCCTGGCCGGTTTGGCTCAGTGGTTAGAGCGTCGGCCTGTGGTCCTGAGAGACCTGGGTTCGGTTCCCGCTAAGGGCGCGTACCTCGGTTGCAGTTTGTCCCGGCCCTGGTGGGTTGTGCGGGTGGCAGCCACTCAATGTGTCCCTTTCACATCGATGTTTCTCTCTCTCTGGTCCTCTCTCTCCCTCCCACACTACCTGAACAAAAAATGGAAAAATGTCCTCCGGTGAGGATTAAAAAAAATTTAAAAAAAAAGAACATGAAGCCAGTGTGAGGCATAAGAGCGAGGCATGTGAGTTGTGTGAGCATGAGTGATGATGGGAATGTCAGTGTGCGGCTATGTGTGTAAAGTGTGTCCATGTAAGAGTGAGGAGTACTCGGGTGTGTGAGATAAGTAGGTTTGTGGGGTGTCTGAGGGGGGGGGGTGTGTGTATATGTGTGTTTGGAGGGGGAGGAAGGTGTGGAGCAGGTGGAGGGGGTGTGGAGCAGGCTGGGAGGAGCTGTAGGAAGCTCATCTGGTATGAAATACCACCAACTGCACTTGATCTGCAAAGAGCTCCTTTGCTCTGGGAACAGGGGTTAGTTACTTTGGCATCTGGGCTGTGGACGGTGTCTTCTTGGTGCTCTGCTTCATGTCCTCAGGACCATGGCTCCGGGGGTTATCTGAACCAGGCACACATCTGTGTGGGGAGCGCAAGTGAACTGGAATATTTGGGAAAACAGTCCACGGCTTAAACGATTAAAACAAAGGGTCATAGCACAGGGAGAATGCAAACTCTACATGAATTTAACCCAGAAGACTCCAGAGACATTTTGCCCTTGCAATCAGCTGGCCCGCCACCCTTTCCCCAGAAATCATCTCTTCTCTGTCACTCCTTGCACAGGGGTAGAGGAGGGGCGTGGGATCGGTGTGAGGAAGTGGGGGAGAGGGTCTGAAAAACATGGCAAGAACAATCACAACTCTTCTCGAGACATCAACCCCCTCACTGTCAAGGTCTGCACAGAAGCCAATGCCAACTTGCTTCCTCACCCTTTCACACCACTTCCCACTCCTGTGCGCACGTGGCTGGTCAGTCTCCCTTCCTCCGAGGCCAGGTGATAACAGCAGGCTCCTCCAGATCCAATCAGTCCTCAGGGGACTCTTCCTGTCACACTCATCCATCCATTAAGCGGAGTTTCGTCCCTCCAAAGATACAGTGAAGTCCTAACCCCGGGTATCTGTGAATGGGCTTTAAAAACGTTTTTTGAAATAGAGTCTTTGCAGATGTCATTAAGATGAGGTCATACTGGATTAGGATGGACCTAATCCTTGCAAGATGAGTGAGATTGGGACACAGGGACACGAGAGAGAATGAACTGCTGTTGCTTTAAGCTACCAGATTGCTGTGTTTTGTTACAGCAGCCCTAGGAAATGAGTGTACCAGAAAAATTACCTGCCCAACCAGCCTGGGTCCTTTTCTGTGCCAGCTTCTTCAGCTCTTGCTTGCCTTGTGCCATCACTTAATTCTAACACGGAGCTTCTGCCTACACAACTGTTGCACCTCACCAGACAGAACTCTAGTTCTCTTGAGGCTTTGGTCCTATTCTGTAGCCAGCTGGGGGTGTGGATGGCCGACAGACTTCATTGCCATTCCCTAATTGCCGAGCTCAGATCTGCATTCCTCCGAGGTGGGTTAGAATTTCCTTCCCATCACTTAATAGCTATGCTATCTAGGTTAGTTGGAGTTCCCAGTCCTCAGTTACTTCTTCTGTAAAATGGGAGTTGGAAAAGGCCAACGGTACCTTACCTCCCATGCAGGATCTCTGTGGGCCAGAAAGCCCAATGCAAATGCAAGAAGTCATTAGAAAGAAATTCCGGAGGAAATGAGGTGACGGAGGGGAGGGACTTGTCCACTCTCTGTGGTCCCAGTGTCCCCTGGTACTCTGACTGCCCAGCAGATGGCCCTCCTCCAGAGATGCCCGAAACCCTTGGTCTGCATGTTTTTCTGAGGATTCCAACCCCAACCAGGGTTATTTCTAATCGTAGATGGAGCCTTGGTTCACTTAGTATTTCCTTTTCCTCAGGAGAAGAACTCCGAACATTCCATGCTTCAGTGGTACAAATCTGATCACCATGCTCCTCCACTGAAAATCCTGGCTTTACTCCCAATTTCCCATGCAGATGAAGTCTAGAATCCTTAGCAGGGCACGTAAGGCCAATGTTGATGGGCCTACATGCACGGCCATCCCCATGTCCCTAAACTCTCCACATGGCGCTGTCCCTTCAGTAAACCAAACTTCTTCCCCTAGTGGGCTTCTGAACTCCGTTGCATCTCCTTCGACAACAAAAATAACAATGTAGCTACTCATCTGATATATAAGGATAATTTTCTGTAAATAACCTCATAGTGAGGACTTGTTTTGCCCACTTGACAAATAAGGAAACTGAGACTCAGAGAGGTTAACAACATCCCAAGATCAATGACACATGATAATCACGATTCAACCCCTCTCTCTTGCTTCAAAGCCTGGGATCCTCCTCCTCTGCCTGGCTGGTCTCCCTCTTCTTTCAAAGTGCAGTTTGAGATTTATTTTCTGGAATCCTGCCCTGACATGCACAGTTTGTCTGGGTTTCTGTGCCTCTGGGTTGTACTAGCAAAGACTGACAGGTCTCTCCTCAAATAGCAACTGCAGATTTAGTCCCATCTTCCTCCCAAGACCGCAACTGCTGGACAGCAGAAATCTGGAGTCGAGCACGGAGCCAGGCACAGGACAGGTGTTCAGGGGTAAACAAAGCTTTTGAATAGCCAGTGGAATGAAACAGCTAGAAGGGACCTTTCCTGGGAAGTAAGTTTAGGAATATTGTCTGCTCAGTTCATGTTTTCCCTTCCCAATCTTTCCCTGTCAATCCTCATACTAATCCGCTGGGATGCAGTCACCATCCTTCGGGGTTTGACATTTGGAATCCCTTACCTAGTATGGTGTGGCTAATTTTCCTGACTTTCCGAGGTGCTGCTCCATTTAGAGGCAATGCAATGTGGTCATAAGTTTTAGAATCAGACCTCGTTGGGTCACTTACCAGCTTGTGACCTTGGGCAAGTTAAACAACCTCTTTGAGGCTTAGTTTTATAATCCACAAAATACTACCTACTGCGGAGCGTTGATCTGAGGAGGAAGCAGGTGTTCCACCGTCTTGGGAGTTGGCATCACAGTAGCTCTTGTTTTATATTGGGAAATGAAGACAAGAAAGGAGCGGGAACTTCCCAGAGTAGGTGGTGGTGGGAAAGCCTGCTGGGGGTGGGGAGGGGAGCGAGGCCTGGAGCCATCCCATCCAACCCTACATCCCGAGCTGCTTCCATGGCACCATGAGGTATGGCCGTGAGGTTTGCCACTGACATTTCCTATTTCGCTAGCACCCCCAAAGTCTTCCCAGAATGGACCTCCAAGAGGTGAGTCCTCAGCAGAAACCAGTTTTGGCCGTGAGTGGCCCTCACAGGTTCCAGTGGATAATCCCCCATTCTCATAATGGGAAGAACCTTTTAGGGTTGCTTGTACCCCTAGGGTTTCAATCATCTTAAAACTCCTCAGTCCCATCCATGGACCTGGTGCAATTTTATGCATATAGAAAGCCCCCCACTCACTCATCCACTCACGCACATCTAGGGAAGAGTAGGGGGACCCCTGTTTGTAAACATCTTCCCTGGGAATGTTGGTGGGGACAGTACAGAATGGAGGTGGAATGGGGAGACCGGACCAGGGCTTCCCCTAACACGCTGTTGCACCCTCATAGTCTCTGCAGCCCCCTCAGCCCCATTTCCTAACAGTTATTTCAGGGGACTGAACTGAAATAGGGGCGTCCAGAATCTCTAGAAAAGGCCTCTCTTCACTTGGCTCACCAGGGGGCACCCGTGGCCACAGGATGCCTCTAGCTGGGTGGGAAGGCAAGGCTGGGCCAGCAGGTGGCAGTGCCCTTCTAGGGCCCACGCAGGGACAAAGGCCAGGTACCAGAGAAAAGGAGAAAGCCCCAGCTCTTCCAGCCCCAGGTTCCACTTGTGCAGTTCAGTGGAGGGGTCAGCTGTTCCGGGAGGCTCCCCCTGACCACTCAGACCCAGGCAGGCAGGCATCTTCCTCCGAGAAATAATCGAACCATCGCATAGTGTGATCTGGCTCCCGCGCAACCACACAGGAGCAGGTCTTTTCTCGTATTTGTATCCCTGGTGTTAGCACAGCTTTTAAAAATCACTGGGAATCAGAAAGAGGTGCTATACAAGCGAAAAGGAGGCATGTTCTCCAAGTTTCAGAGCCAGACAGAAATGAGCTTAAGCTGAATGAATTGAGGCTAGAAGTGAGGAGGAACCCGAAGAAGACAGTTACTGAACACGACCTTTTCACACACACATGGAGCCTCAATCCTTTTGAAAAGGAAACTATGCTGTTTTACCAGAAGTAAGGTGATCGATCGGGGGAGCGGTGGTTTGAAAGTGGAACCTCCTCAGAGGGAACAGACAAGAATAGGTGGTCACTGGGGGCCCTGCTTAGCCTGAGAATGTCAGAGGGACTATTTCACGGGATCCCCTCTAACCCTCAAGACACCCACCCACCCCACCCCTGCACCAAGATGCCAGAGAAGATAGGAATATAGATTTTAATCATTGTGCTGCTGCTGTTAACCGGAGTGCAATTGATCCATCCTTTGTGGATTTTGATGCCACAGTGTAAATGAGGTTTCTGGGGCTATTGGTGACAAAAGGGAGGGGGTGGCAGGAGGAGAAACAGAGTGAGGAGAGGAGTGGGGGTCAGAGCTTTCCCCAGCATCGCATTCCCGTCAAGGGCCCTGGAGAGGCCGGGGTCCTTCCTGGCCCAGGCTGCCGACAGGGGTCAGTCTACGGCTTCCTGCCAATCCATCCGCCTCTAGCTCTAAGGCCAGTCCTTGTTGAGTAGATGAAGTCCAGAACAGGCTCACCGCTGACCACCACGTGGGGAAGGGACGTAGACCAAGGGAGAGAGGCATTTGGGAACCCCCAACCCTTCTCCATTTTCCATCCTGAGAGACCCTCAGACTAGTTGAGAGCTGGGGAAAGGACAGCGGTAGCAGCTCATCCTCTGGGTCAGAACCCCCCAGGAGACGGGGAGGGGCGGGACTCAGAGAGGGCAGGTAGCAGATACTCCTGTGCATTTCTCTGCCTGAGCAGTAAGTGAGGGAGGCGTCTCCTCGGAGGTCTGCTGAATTCCAGCCAGGGGCTGGCCGTCATCGGGGCTTCTTACAGTTTCCTAGGATTGGTAGCATTAGGAGGCGGAGGGAGGTCACTCAAGCCCCAGAGCTCGGCCCCACTGGCTGCTGATAGGAGCTGGACTCTGGGAAGTAGCTCAAACCGCTTTGACAAGACCATTCATTCCTTTTGTCAAGAGTCAGGTGATCGGGTCCCGAGCAAAGGCACTGGGCCCGGGACAGCTAGGAGTCAGAGACACACAGGGCTTCTACCGCGTCACTCAGACCCTGGTTGACACCCCCCACAGCCAGCAGGCAGTTCTTGATGACAATGCTGGAGCAGGCACAGCGGGGTGTGGGCATGGCTGGGAGCACCTCCCATTTGTTCTTCCCCGGGTGGAACGCCTCTGCGGTCTCCAGGACAGTGGGCTGGTTCCCTGAAAGGGAACCGGAACTTACAAAGGAGTCCAGCCACCAATCCATGCCTTGCAGTCACCACCCCTCACCCCTGGCTCCCACCAGTAGAAGCCAAGCAACCTCAACTTCCCCTGCTGCTCCTCCCTCTACCCTGGGCCAGTAGCTTTGGTCAAACAGCCACTTTGCTCCTCCTACTTCCTGTCTTTGCCTCTTCACCAATATGCTTTCTTTCCCCAATCCCGTTTTTTACCAGAAGTTTCTAGATACTATTGCCTCCCTTCTGCCTTGTACTAAAAAGCGGCCCACGTGGTCTAGCCCACATCATGCTCCTTCATGAGACGATGAAGTGGTCTGTTCACGCTGAGCAAATGCTGGGCCCATCTCTCTCTCCCCTGTTGATCCTGGAGTTCTAACTTCAGAATACCACTAATCTTTGGGAGGGACATACAGCAAATCCTGAATGCATCATACTAACGTATTGGATCAAACTGCTTTCCTATTCCATGACAGAGCTGGGTGTGAGCACCCCCGAGTCCCATGGTTATCGGTATGTTGCTTATGCTCTCTGGGCCTCAGTGTCCCTTGTGTAAAAGGACCGAAGACTACATTTGGGCTCATACGTGGATACGTGAAGTCCAGGCTGGGAGAAAGAAAGTGCTTTGAATTCTTTGGAAGAAAGCAGTAGGCAGGCAGTGTGCAAGGAGCCAGCACCTTTTCCTGCTTGTACAGGATACCAACAATCCACCAAGCACCAGAACCTCAGTACCAGCCTGGAAGCTCCATCCTTACCAAGTCCTCCGGCCACTATGACCCGTCCACTCAGAGAGCCAGCCACAAAGTCTGCCCGCCGCTTCTTGAGGAAGAAGGAGCGGTCCATCTTCAGCCATCCCCCTACAGGCCACGGTGACGGCAAGACATACAGAGAGAGAATTAGCTGTTACCTAAGCTCTCACCCTAGGCACTGTCTCCACGCCATCTACCCTCTGTGCTCAGGGCTCACAATGCCTCCTGCTGTTTGAGTGACACTCTCCGTGGCTTCTAGCCTCTCCCATGTTTGCTGCTGTCCCGGGAACTAGAATCCCCTACAACAACTGTCCTGTTCTACCGCTGTTCTCAGACTCTCAGCTGGAGAAAAGTTCACTAGAGGCAGAGCGTAGGGGTCAGGATCCTTCTGTTTCTCCGTGAGTAAAAGCAGGAAAAAGCCCTCCCTCACCTGGCCCTGCCTGGATATTGTAAGGAGAGAGAATAGATGGAAAAGGCTTTGGTGGAAACAACCAACACACCAAAGGGAGCCCTGGACAGATGGAAGAATTCGGTCCCAAGAGTATTCCTGAATGGAGAGGGGTGGTCAGACTTCCGAAAGGCTCCTCCAGCTGGGCGGGTGGCCCTGGGAGTACGGATGGGAGGGAGGTATGGTGGGGGCAGTCCACCAGAGGCAGATGGCAGCCAGCTCACCCTGTTCCATGTCAAACACGTCCATGGTCCGGAGGAACTTGGGCTGCCGGTAGAGCCGACCCTGCCGCAGGCCTCCCAGGCTGTACAAGCAGTCGTCTAGGGTCACAAAGCTGGAGAAGGCCCTTTTACAGGGAATGTTGGGGAACTTGGTCCAGGAGCGAGTCTCAATGTCGAAGACCTCAAAGGCGTTGACTGCATACTTGGACTGTCGTCCCCCTGGAGGCCGGAGCAGGGTGGGTGTGGGGCAGAAGAGTAAGTCCCTGAGCAAAGCAGCAGCGTTTCCCTAATCGTACAGGAGCTCCGGGAGGGACGGGGCAGCATGCTTTCCCCCCAGTGCCAAGGAGATGCTCCACACACAGGCATTGCCTCCCGTGGAAACTGATCCAAAGTGGGAAGAAGGGACCCAGGGGGACAGGCAACTCGTCCTTACCCAGCACATAGATCTTGGAACCTCGAAGGAAGGAGGTGGCAGCATATCTTGGAGTGGGCATGGGTGCTAGCGACACCCACATGTCCTTGAGCATGTCATAGTGTTGAAGGTGGTTGTGCGGACGGAGGTCCAGGCCCATCCCGCCTGCCGCATACACTCTGTAATCTAAGGAGAAAGTCCACGTGCATTGTTGACTCAGCTTACAGATCCCACGAGACAGTCCCATCGGCATTTATCACCATAGCCACGCTCTGTTAACCCCTGAACACCACCGATGAAGCCAGGTTCCCCACCACTGCTCTGCCAGAGTGAACCCCATGTATGTATCAGTAGGGTCGTGGCCACATTTAAAAGTCCCTACTATAGTTGAGCCTGGGTCTTCTTGAAGCCATGTCAGGCCTGCAGACCTTAGCCGTCCTTGATGTCCAGCCCTTTGGCTAAGCCCGAAACACTAAGCCTCACACACAGGGGCAAACTGTGGTGGAGTCCAGACATGGACAGTCTTTTGCAGGTCTTGTCCCCTCCATGTTCCTCCTTCCTGGGCAGCCAGAGGGGATGTGAAAGAGGAGGGACATGGCTGTGATACCCCTGCAGTAGTGGCCTGGCCCAGGCACTCTGAGACTGAACCTCTCTAGACCTGGCAGGAGCCTTTAGAAATTGGGTCAACCCTGCTGTCATTGACCTTGTAGGACACTGGACTGCTGCTGGTGCTTTTGTATTCTGCCACCTCCGTGGGGGAATGACAAACTCCTTTACATACTGGGAAGCTTGTGGGCTCCAGGAGGCACCCTGCACTAAGTGGGATAGGGCCGGGGTGAATGAGCGTACGGCTTGCAGGACAGAAACCCTGCCTGGGCAGTGAGCTGGGCACTCCGAGAAGACCAGTTCTCCAGCATGCTCCTCTGCTCTGGGCTGCAGGTGGCTTTTCTTAAAAAAAAAAAAAAAAAAAAAAAAAAGCAGCAGCCCTGGCCGGTTTGGCTCAGCGGTTAGAGCGTCGGCCTGCGGTCCAGAGAGACCCGGGTTTGGTTCCCGCTAAGGGCATGTACCTCGGTTGCAGTTTGTCCCCGGCCCTGGTTGGTCGTGCGGGTGGCAGCCACTCGATGTGTCCCTTTCATGTCGATGTTTCTCTCTCTCTCTCTTTCTCTCCCTCCCTCCCACTCTATCTGTACAAAATATGAAAAAATGTCCTCGGGTGAGGATAAAAAAAAAACAAAAAATTTCCCCCTTTATTGATTTTAGAGTGAGAGAGACAGAAACATCAATGAGAAAGAATATCAATTGGCTGCCTCCTGCATGACCCCCATTGGGGATCAGGCCCACAACCTGGGTATATGCCCTGACCGGGAATCCAGTCGGCAACCTGTTGGTGCATGGGTCGATGCTCAGCCACTGGGCCACACCAGCTGAACTGCAGGTGGCTTTTCAAGGTGCTTCTTGCCACTGTCCCAGAGAGAATGAGCAAAGCATCCATGTGTCCCTGGGCCTCACCCCAGTATCTCCGGTAGCTTATCAGGGACACAGCCCCCACAGGGCTCTCAGTAGCCAGTCCTCCCCACTCCTGGCTCTAAGAGGCCTTTGTTCTTCAAGAGTATTTCATGGATGAGTACTCTTTCCTTCTACTTTCCAATCTTACTGGGGGGGAAAAAAATCCCAACCCTAGCCTGATGCGAGGGATGGAAACTGCTAATAAATTGACCTCTCCCAGCCTCATGTCACCTGAAACACACTTCCAGTCGGGGATCCTCCAGTCCCCTCTACTCATCCTTTCAGACTCACCTGAGTGTCCCTGAACATCAAGGCTGGGCTGAGAGCACCAGCTCAGTGCTTTCCATGACACCTGCCTCACTCTAGTCACCTATTGTTACCGAAATAATCTTTGTCTGTTTCTTCCAATAGACTGTAGGTCCTTGAGAATTTGTTGATCTGTGATCCCGGCCTCTGGTACAATGCCTGACGTGCAGACTTATAAATACTTACTAAATTAATTGATGAACCCATTCAGTGCCATAGTTAGGAATACAGATTCAATCATCCCTTACTGTGCAACTTTGGGAAAGCTTTTTAACCTCTCTGGGCCTCCCATTGCTTCTCTCTACAATGAGGATAATAATTGCACTTACCTCATCAGATAGGTTGTGAGGATCAAAGACACCTATGATGAGGACTTAAAGTTAGTTCTTAATCTTTTAGCACCATTTATCGAGGCCTGGGATTAAAGGAGTACTCTCCCCTTCTCTATTTCCCTACGGGCCTCCATGCCTTCCATTCTTCTTACTTCCGGTTTATGGAGGCTCCACTGACCATTCTGCCCTGAAGGATTCTGGGCTAGACTGTCTCTCTGGTCACCTTTGTTGGTCAGACCTGGTTTCCTGAAGGCGGAGACCAGACCTTTCCCTCCTCCCTGGGACCTAGACCTGTACCAGGGACAGAGCAATTGCTCGGGAGATGCCCGTTCCTGCTCTACAGTAGACCCAGCAAGCAGCTAGATGATTTTGCCAGAGAGACAAGAAAGGCTGCATCCCATTAAGCCTGTCTGGATTTCAGCTCCCCTAATTCCTATTGGGCCACTTCCCATAAAACCCTTTGTGTTTTAGCAAAAGAACTTTCTGAGCACCCTCTATGCTCTAGGCTGTTCCAAACCAGAAGAGAAGGAAAGTCGGGGCTGGAGAAAGTGAAATGAGAATCATAAAACCACAGGGTCGGCACACGCATGCCCTGAGAACTCCAGATGGGCAGGGTGCTGCAGGAGCACAATCCTTTTCCCGCCTGTGCAATAAGGCCACTGGGTCTCCAGCCTTGGTGCCTATTGTGAGGATCAAAAGGGGTCAGGAATGTGATAGTGGGCCCCGACTCGGTGCTGGCTCCCATCCCTTTCCCTGTGGTCTCCCCGCTCCCTGCTCGCCACCCACCCTCAGCCCTTGCCCCACTTGCCTTTGGCCGTGACAGAAATGCCCATGGCGGCCTCTCGCAGCACGCTCCTCTTCTTCCACTTGCCCTCATCTATGTTGTACATCTCCACAACCTTCAGGGGCAGCTGATTGGTGCCCACACCCCCGATCACCATGATCCTCTTCCCCAGGGCGATGACGGCCACCCCAGCCCGGGCTGTGGGCAAGGGGGGCAGGGCGGTCCACTTGTCGGCCTCCGGGGAGTAGACCTCAAAGCAGTCCCTGGGGATGCCATTGTCGTCACATCCCCCGATGGCATAGACCTGCCCCCCTGTCTCCAGCAGGGAGCAGTAGACCCGGCGGCTGGGCAGTGGCGCCAGGCACTTCCACTGGAAGTCCTTGATGTTGGGCACCTCCATGGCAGCCCCGGGGGCCCCTCCCGCCGCACCCCTGAGCCGCGGAGCGCCAGGGCCCAGACCGAGGTGCGAGCCCCGGGGTGGGAGGGCGAAGGCACCGGCTACTCCGCGCCCCCTCTCGCCTTCTCCATCCCACTCCCGAGCGCCGGTTCCCGCCTGACCCCGGCAAGGGCCCCGACGCCGGCCAGCGCTTCACCGTCCCTCAAGACTCAGCAGTCCCGTGGCGTCCACGCTGCGCCCTGAGGGAGGAACGCCGCGAGTCAAGGGCGGTCATGCCACGCGCCCTCGCCTCCTTGTGTCCGCGGCGGGGCCAGCTCCCAGCCGTTCGCCAACTTTAAAGGGAGGACGCGCGGCCAAGAGCGCCACCCCGCGGCGGCATCACGCCCTGTAACGCTTTGTCCGCCACCCCTCCCCGCCTGCTGGGTGGAAACGCAGGGCGTACCGGGTGGGGCCGGGGCTTCCTGGGGTTTAGGGTGCCTGGCTGGCTCCCCGCTAAGCAAAGCATTAACACTATTCGGCGTCCACGCCTCCGACCACTACCCGTCTCCCCTCCCCGCAGCCTCCCGTCCCCGCCCCCGCGCCCGCACCCGCGCCGCTTACCCAGCCTGGCGGAGCAGCGTGGCGCGAGGCTCAGACAGCGCATCACCCGGAGCCGGGAGCCCCCGCCCGCAGGCGCTGGGAGCAAGGGACAGGCGCTCTGTCCTTCTACTTCGTACCCTGCTGTCAGACATGCAGGGGAAGAGAATAAATGAACAGCAGGAAGGAGAAGCGAGGCCGCCGCGGGGGAGGAGGCCGGCCAGCCGACTCCATGCGCTCCCACCCGCAGCCGCCGCCACACCTGTGCAGGAATCCGCGTGCGTCCCGCGGCGGAACAGCTGTGACCTCTTTACATAAGCCCTGGCAGCGCCCGGCCCGCGGGGGAGGGAAAGGGCCCGGTGGAGACGCTCATCTTGTCTACAGGTTCAGGGATGTCCGCACGAGACCCAAGGACCCAGATGACTCCCTCCAGTCCCTCCGGTCGGTCGGGACAGGGGGTGAGGGGGTGGGGAGTTGGGAGCGAGGGAGAGGGCGGTTGTGTGTGTTTGTTTTGGATGAGGAGGCGGAGAGTCCAATTACCCAGTTATCTACAGTACACAGACCCAGTTCGCGACAGGCTGGCTCCATAGTCAGCTTTGCTTTGGGGGAGCTATTATCAAATGGTTTAACCTAATAGAATCAAGTGATGTGGGTGCGATCTACGCAGGGCTGACACAGGTGCATCCAAACAACATATACACCGACCAGCACACACATGCAAATCTTACGTCACCTCCCCCCCTCCCAAATAGACATACCCACGGAGGAACTGACAAATGCACAGACATGTGGACACACAACCAAAGCCACACTCACAGGCTGTCTCTCCCCCAACTCCTTCTTCACACACCTTGGGAAGGGGAAACTTGATTATCCAATCTTGGCCCTCAGTACCAACCCATAGGGCTTGCCAAATAAATCTTTGAAACTGCTCTCTAATAGAGCCATTTCAGGACAGTAGTCCCCAGTAACAAAGCTGCCCATGACACCAGTGGCCACCTGGTCTGATGGACTGCAAGGCCTATGGGGCCCTCGTCCTACCTGAATATAGGCAGAATATAAGCCTGAATAAAACACTCAGGCTTGGGCCCTGGCCAGTTTGGCTCAGCGGTTAGAGCGTCCGCCTGCGGTCCGGAGAGACCCGGTTCGGTTCCAGCTAAGGGCATGTACCTCGGTTGCAGTTTGTCCCCGGCTGGCAGCCACTCGATGCGAAAGGGACACATCGATGTTTCCCTCTCTCTCCCTCCCACACTGTCTGTACAAAAAATGGAAAAATGTCCTCGAATGAGGATTAAAAAAAAAACAAAAAAAAAAACACACTCAGGCTTGGGAGTCTGACAGACCTGGGCTTGAGTTCTAGCTCTGAAATTATTTAATGACTCTGAGCCCCAGTTTTCTTTTATTATTTTAATTCACCTTTTTATTTTGAGATAAATTGTAGATTCACATGCATTTGTAAGAAATAACACCCTTTACTCAGTTTCCCTTAATGATTAACATCTTGCAAAACTTATAGTACAATATCACAACCAGAATATGGAAATTGATCAGTGAAGATACAGGGCATTTCTATCATGCTGATTTTTAAAAAAATATTTTTTATTTATTGATTTTTAGAGAGAGGAAGGGAGAGGGGGGAGGAGAGAGAGAGAGAGAGAGAGAGAGAGAGAGAGAGAAACATCAATGAGAGAGATCAATTGGCTGTCTCTTATATGCCCCACACTGGGGATTGGGCCCACAACTTGGTCATGTGACTTGACCAGGAATCCAACCGGTGACCTCTTGGTGCATGGGTTGATGCTCAACGATTGAGCCACACCAGCCAGGCTGCATGTTGACTTTTTACAGTCTCTCTCACCCCTCTCTCCCCAATCCCTGGCCACCACTTATCTGTTCTCCATTTCCATACTTTTGTCATTTCAAAAATGTTATATAAATAGAATTGGACAGTATGTAACCTTTGGAGATTAGCTTTTCCTCCCCCAGCAGAATTCTGTGAAAATTTATTCAAGTTGTTGCCTGTACCAATAATTCATTCCTTTTTATTTCTGGGTAGCATTCGATGGCATGGATACATCCTTGTAGGTTTCTGTGAAGATTAAATGAGATAATATTGGTAACATATTCAGTTCATTCAGCTTCTGAGACAAAGCAAGGACCTAGTACATTGTGATTAATATCATTATTACCACAATTACTGTCAACCAAACCAAGAAAAAGGAAAACTGAGAACAAGCACACACGTTCTGCCCCTTACTTTGAAGTGACTTCCTGTGAGAAACAGAAGTCACAACTCACAACAGACCCACCATAATATCGTAAGTCCTTGGCTTAGACATGCCACTATTTTTTAGTTTGAATTCTCTGTGCTTAAAGAGTTAGTACCTCTAAAACCTTCACAGAAGAAGGTTGTGTTCTGTTTTCTCTATTCATTAGGAACTCATAAATTCCAAAAGAATGTGTTCTGAATGAATGAAGTTTCACAGGAAACACCAAACACGTCTTTTTCCTAGGGATCATAATCTGCCCAGAGGAATCGAGAACAAACCCTCAACTTGAACTGTGTTCACAAAATAAGGAAGATTGAAAGTCATGGTCCTTCCTCCAAGAAGCTAGTTTTGGTCCTTCTTCAGCCCCTTTTGCCCACTGAGCCTCCTACCAAAGCAGTGAGGCAAGGCTCCCGGTGCCCTCCCCTCCCCCCTCCGCTGGGGCAGCAGCTTAAGCAGCTATACAGAGTCCCACACTACTTTATGTTTGCATAACTCATTGAGTTAAACTAAGCCCTTGCACGTCCATTTTCTTGTAATCTTAAAACAACCCTGGGAAAGGTTGCCAGGGCAGGTATCAGTATCCACTTTTTACAGATAAGGAACCTGAGGTTTGGTGAAATGAAGTAACTGACTTATGACAGTGAGCTGTTCCGGGTATGTCTAGTTGGTGACGTCCATATCCAATGCTCTTTCACTTTATCACAATTCAATCCCAAAGGAAAGCATTGTACTTTATTAAGGACATCAAGCTTTCTCCCTCTCACTTGGCTTTTTGTCCAATTACAGTGAAGGAAGGAGCCCAGACCCCAAAGTGTTCCCATTGACGCACTATCTGTGCTGGGCAGCATAGCTGGGAAAGGGCTTGGAATCCAGCCCTAGAATAGGCCCCTTTCTCACCTAATGTTCATGTTTCACAAGCACCGCTCTCTATGAAGACCATAGGATTTAGGAACTCAGGCCCTTAGGAATACTAAGAACAGGACGCTTTCCAGACTAAGGCATAATTGCTTGTTCTGGAAGGCCTGGCTTCTCTCCATCTCTCCCTCTCCTTCCCCCAAGGCTCTTCCTTCCGCTAGGTGACATCCTTTAGTCTTTACATTGAGTGCACTTTGAGGAAGCTTGTAACCTAGCAACCACCACTTAAGATTCCCCGTGTCACCTGTGGTTTCCAGGCCTGGGCTGCTTGCAATAAGCTGGGGCTCTAAGGAGTGCCAAGCAGAGGTGGGATCCAGTGACCCAGCACCCCATTCTAGTGTGTAACCACTTTTCTTGTGAGGAATTTCTTCCTCATGTCAAACGTAAACCCGTCTGCTCTAAGACCTTGCATTGCATCCAGCCTGGGTTTCTCTTCTCTCTTAAAAAGTGTTTGACTTTCGCCTAGGGAAGTGGGGAAGGAAAGTTTGTGAAGATAAAGCCTTTGATACCTGAAAGTCTTTATTATTGTGATGCTAACGCATCAATCAAACTTGTTGAGCTGTGGCCTGGTAGGTTGTGAGTTCAATCAGGTTGGTCAGGGCACATCTGGGAATCAGCAAATGAATGCATAAGTGAGTGGAACAACAAATCTATCTTTCTCACTAAAAAAATTAATTTAAAAAAATGTTGAGGGGTGCTCAGCCCCAGGAAAAGTCACATCTGGGATTTAATCAGGTCTAATTTACATGCAAAAAACGCACACTTTTACTCATTGAGTTTATTAACTATCCATTAGAGGCCTGATTTCACTGAACTCTGGTAGGTTTGGGGAAGCTGAGGGTAGTGGTGGGAGGGCAGTTTCTTCCCCGTAAACCAGGCAGATTCCTAGCATGGCAAACCATGGATGGAGTCACTATGTGTAGGGCTTAAAGGGACTGGTAAAATACCAAGTGTAGGGTACATTTGGGGTGGGGGTGGGGAAAGGAGTTGTTTAGTTCTTGTACAGCCCCTTCTCCTTCCCAGAAATACTGAACTACCATCCTGTCAGTGGGCACCACCAGAAGGCCCTCTGTGGGGTACCATGCTGCCTGGCAGGACCCACTTAGATCTCCCAAAGCTGAGATGCCCTCCTCTCCACAGTTCTCTTTCTGTAGTGCCCCACAGATCACAGGCTAGTGGGGAAGTAATCAGACAGACTGGACCTGAATCTTGGCTCGGCCACCCCCTAGCTGTGTGACCATGAGTAAGTTACTATCTCCC